ATCACCCACCACTGGATCGCACATCACCCACGCGCACCGCGCACAACTAGTTATAGTTTTTAAAAGGAGTAGAAAATTATAGGTAAGAAAAACAGTTGGTGAGAAACAACAAACAGTTCATGTTAGCTTTACAAAATCGATCACAATAAACGAACAAAGGACGATTAGCCTTCATCAGCACATAAAGAACAATACAGTACACATACACAAATATACTCTAACTATGAAGTGACTCCATGGGACTAATGTACACAATAAATGATACTCATCTGTGTTCCTGGCGAAAAAACTTCCTTCACTAGTTATAGAGTGTTTAAGCCATTTGCCATGCCGCTTGTTTCAGATTGATCCATAAATCATGAGTTTTCTTCTTTCTTCTTCTTCGCGTTCACCAGCTGTAAACCCTGGCGGAAAGTTATGGTTGTTCATCCACTTCTGGACTGCAGTCCTGTTCCAGAACTTGAGTGTTGCGTGTGCATCCGTTTTACAGATCTGACTCATTTGTATGCAGACTTCTGGTTCCTTGCCTCTCAGGCAGATGCACTCCAACTTCAAAGGAAGCTTCCAATTAGTCGACTCTTACGACATGCTTTTGGGTAGACAGTGGGTCTATTCTTGTTTTTCTTATAACAGGGCCCCAGAACCCACATGGGATATCAAGAGTTGTTATTTCTTTGGCTCCGTACTATGGATATCGCAACCATTCGGTCTTGATTCCATGATAGGTACCGACAATCTGGGAAATATGTGTATTTTTTGCCCATCCCGAGGCGTGAACCCGGACCACAAGGAATTTGTCAAAAGAATCGATGGATCCCGTGGTACAGTTTACAAGTGTAGGTTTAAGATAACTGGGAGTCGTCTCCAGAGCTACGGATGTCCTGCTACTCCTGGTGCTTTGAGATTTACAAATCCGTTTGGCCGCCGCCGCCGCCGCTGTTGCTTCCTCTTCTTCTTCTTCTTCTTCTTCTTCTTCTTCTCTTCTTCTTCTTCTTCTTCTTCTTCTTCTTCTTCTTCTCTCTTCTTCTTCTTCTTTCTTCTTCTTTCTTCTTCTTCTTCCTTCTTCTTCTTCTTCTTCTTCTTCTTCTTCTTCTTCTTCTTCTTCTTCTTCTTTTTCTTCCTTCTTCTCTTCTTCTTCTTCTTCTTCTTCTTTCTCTCTTCTTCTTCTTCTTCTTCTTCTTCTTCTTCTTCTTCTCTTCTTCTTCTTCTTCTCTTCTTCTTCTTCTTCTTCTTCTTCTTCTTCTTCTTCTTCTTCTTCTTCTTCTTCTTTCTTCTTCTTCTTCTTTCTTCTTCTTCTTCTTCTTCTTCTTCTTCTTCTTTGTCTTCTTCTTCTTCTTCTTCTTCTTCTTCTCTTCTTCTTCTTCTTCTTCTTCTTCTTCTTCTTATTCTTCTTCTTTTTTTTCTTCTTTTTGTTCTTTTCCTTCTTCTTTTTCTTCTTTATCCTCTTCTTCTCCTCCTTCTTCCTTATTCTTCTTCTTCTTCTTCTTCTTCTTCTTCTTCTTTTTTTCTTCTTCTTCCCTTCTAAAAGTTTATCTTTTTTTTGGGCTCCTAAAATTTTACTCTTAGAAGAGGTTACCACTTTGTATTGTCTTCTTTTTCTTCGCGTTCACAAGCTGTACACTCTGGCGGAAAATTATGGTTGCTCGTCCACTACTGAACTGCAGTCCTGCTCCAGAACCTGAGTGTTGCGTGTGCATCAGTTTTTTAGATCTCATTCTCTTGAATACAGACTGTTGGTTCCTTGCCTCTCCGGCAGATGCACTCCGACTTCAAAGGAAGCTCCCCAGTCGACTCTTACGACATGCTTTTGGTTTACGGCTAGATTATCCTTAGACATTAGTAGTTAGTAGTTACACAAATCGTGAGTCAGGGTCCGCTTGTAGAAAGATTTATCACGTCTGTTACCCGGCTCTCTAGCGTAGTTGGCTAAACCAGATTGCGCGGTGACCGGATGACGAACTCCTTGTGGTCCGGGTTCAATCCCGGGGGTAGGCAGAAAAGCCACATTTTCTCTCAGATTTACGGTACCTATCATGGAATCAATGCCAAAGGGTTGTGATATCCATAGTACCGAGCCAAAGAGTTAACAACTCATGGTTTCTGGATATTTAAACAAACAAACATCACGTCTGTTAACCCAGAAAGACAAATCAGTGGTCTACCACATCGTTGCTCTTGATACATTCACCGACTTTTTCCCAGACACTGACTGGATGTGGTAGGGGGGGGGGGGGACATGGGGCTTGGAGTAAACAAGGCCTTGATGTGAGAATGAGGTCAGGAACATAGCGGGTCCCGTGCGAGAGTCTACCTGCTGGGTACCTACCTGTAATCTTCCCCTTTCTTTGTTCAATTTTTCGTGGGGTGGATCATAATGGCTGTTGTGTGTAGTAGGTTTAAAAGGTGTTTTGTGGGTGGATCGTAATGGCTGTTGTATATAGTAGTGTGTAGTAATGTTTAAAGTAGGTTTAAAAGTTTTTGTGGAGTGGATCGTAATGGCTGTTGTATATAGTAGGTTTAAAAGGTGTTTTGTGGGGTGGATCGTAATGGCTGTTGTATATAGTAGGTTTAAAAGGTGTTTTGTGGGGTGGATTGTAACAAATGTTGTGTAGGATGGGTGGTAAGGGGAGTTGCGCGAGGTGGCAGTAAGATGGTAGTAAAAGAGGAGAGAGGAGCAGAAAGGAAGAAGAAAAAAGAGATGCAGAGAAAGGAACGAGATTAGACAAGGGCGATAACCTCGTTATAAATGGGACGAAACTGAGCTGCGGGGATTGTAAGCCAGGGTTGAATGAGAAGAGGAACATTAGAGAACAAAGAGATGGAGAGGAAGAAGAAAAATTAGACAAGGGGAAAGTTAAATATGTCCAAGTCACTAAAGGTCTCTGCCCTCTGTTTCTGATATCAACAGGGTCGATGAGTGTATGATAGGTATCTGTTGCCATCCCACTGAGCGACGCAATTTATTGTTAGTTTGAAGCCCCACTCCGGTTGTTGTCGGTCGTACATATAACTTTCCGTCCTTTTCAGGATGAAATTTTTTTGTTTTTTGAAGCCCTACTCTTGCTGTTGCCAGGGGCCGCCCTAGAGGCTAAACGCGGTTTTTGGAACCTCTCCACGGTGTTCCTCATCCACACGGTGGCACGTTGTGTCATCGGGTGTTTCTCGCTTGTGTGATGTCCTGGTGGGGTAGAAAGTCAGTCGGCTGTTGTCAGTGTCCGATACACTAATTACTTTCATTCCTTTTTAAGATGACATTTTTCGTTTTTTGAAACCCTACTCTGGCTCTTGCCAGGGACCGCAATATAGTCCGGCCATAAATATGATCTAATGGCTGAACGCGTTTTCTGGGACCTCTCCACAGGTGATCCTCTTCAACCCCGATGGCACTTTGTGTCATCGGGTTAATATCGCTTGTGTGATGTCCTGGTGGGATAAAACTACTACTACTGTTATCGGGGGACCTAATATGACCCAACGGTTGAGCGGGGTTTCTAGGACTTGCGCCCGGGTGATTCTCATCAAAATGTTGGCACTTTGTGTCACCATGTGTTTATCCTTCGTCGTGCGATCCTGGTGGGGTTGAACTTGATTCATTCATTGCCTGTTCATTATTGCAAACAACCTGTTGTTGCATACCTAGGTGACGGAAGTGGTGGCCCAGCTATCTTGAGCTCTCCACCCCCGCCACAATTATATAGGAGGTTTAACTCTCATATAATTTACAGCGGAGCAGAGATCTTAGACAATTTACGGTGGGGGAGAGAAAGGGGGCGCATACGTGATCCACCTTACCAATGTATAAAACTAATGAGCTAGCGGACCCACTGGCAAAGAATGGACCAATGTGTGTGGGAAGAAGCTTGGACACATTGGATGTCGTCAATTCTCTACGGACTGGGCTAGTGGATAATGGCGTTGCTCTACGACGGACTGGGCTAGTGGATAATGGCGTTGCTCTACGGACTGGGCTAGTGGATAATGGCGTTGCTCTACGGACTGGGCTAGTGGATAATGGCGTTGCTCTACGGACTGGGCGAGGGGATAATGGCGTTGCTCTACGGACTGGGCTAGTGGATAATGGCGTTGCTCTACGGACTGGGCTAGTGGATAATGGCGTTGCTCTACGGACTGGGCTAGTGGATAATGGCGTTGCTCTACGGACTGGGCTAGTGGATAATGGCGTTGCTCTACGGACTGGGCGAGGGGATAATGGCGTTGCTCTACGGACTGGGCTAGTGGATAATGGCGTTGCTCTACGGACTGGGCTAGTGGATAATGGCGTTGCTCTACGGACTGGGCTAGTGGATAATGGCGTTGCTCTACGGACTGGGCTAGTGGATAATGGCGTTGCTCCACGGACTGGGCTAGTGGATAATGGCGTTGCTCTACGACGGACTGGGCTAGTGGATAATGGCGTTGCTCTACGACGGACTGGGCTAGTGGATAATGGCGTTGCTCTACGGACTGGGCGAGGGGATAAGGGCGTTGATCTTAACAAGAACATGATTGCGTGGCATGGAGTGAAGCCTGGTGACGTTCGTCTATGCCGCTTTGGTGGCGAGATAAGAAAAATTGTAAGCAGCCTCTCATTGGAACAATTAATATAAATTCATTGGAGTGTATGAACATATATGGGAATGCCTTATGTGTAGTGACGTCATTGTGATAATATAACATAAATGTTATCTTTTTTAAATATCTGTTAGTACATATACTTTTTAAATAGATTATTATATTTAACTGCCACACAGCACATATAAGCTATTATTATGTACTTAAACATGACTTACGTTCAGGAGTCGGATCCTCTAAAAAGTATAAGCTAACTGAGCTGCGCTCTCCCCAGCACCACCCCCACACTTCCCCCCCCCCCCAGCCCTCCCCCAATTAAAAAAAAATGTTTATGTTTAAAAAAAAATTGAATGTGCAGTAACAGATTAGCCCAATCCATTGTTGTGTTTCCACAGATCACTTCAACATCATTTTACCCCAGATAAAACATGGCTGCATTTGCTGATGAATCAAACGGTCACTCTCCAGCCCTGGCCGACCCCAAGCTGAAAGGAAAGGACAAGCTAAATGGGTCCACAAGTGGCAAGACCCAGCTGGCAGCCTGGATCCTGATCTGGTTTTATATCACTGCTATCATCTGTACGTGGGATGCTACCTTTATCATGATGAGACCATACTCCCTTCCTGGTGGATCACTGGCCTCTCTCTGGTATTTATGTAAGTATTTCCTGGCTCAAAGCATACAAAGCATACATGGAAAGAGAAGAAGGACGTAGAGCACTGGGTAGACCAAGAACAAGATGGAAGGATAACACCAGATAAACTCTACAACAGCACGATGTGCCTATGGTCGAGGCAGCCAGAAGAGCTAGAAACAGAACCTTATATCTCCCTCGACACCCACAGCGGTAAAAGAGGAAGTGAAGAAAAATAAGAAGATTTCCTGGCTCAGACACTCGCCGGCCAGTCCGAAGGTGGTTGGTTAGAATCTGAATGGAACTGAACATTGTTTGAAAAATGATAAAAGTATGGGGGTGACTGCAGTCAAGCTGATACAAGGAATTCCAGAGAAATTTGACTGAAAAGCTCAACAAAATGGGGACGCAGGAAAACGGGCACAAAACAACACTTTCGACCGGGAAGGGGGTAGGGGGGGGGGGGGGGGGGGGGGGGGGGGGGGGGCTTTTTTCAAACATAAGTGAACTACACAAACGTAACAACGAGGAGATAAGAGTATGTAGCTAAAAAATATAGTCACAAAAAAATAATAAACAGTAGTATTGTTAACATATAATATAATACTGGAAATAAAAGAAATACAAATGTTATTGATATATAAATGATACTCTCATCTCCTCGTTGTTACGTTTGTGTAGTTCACTTATGTTTGAAAAAGGCCGCCTGGTCGAAACCTTACGTTGTGTTGTTTTGTGCCTTTTTTCCTACTTCCTAATTTTGTTGCGCTTTTTAGTCAAATTTCTCTGGCTCCCAGGTTGACATTTAAAGCCAAAGGACAGTACTTAGTATCCCTGTCTAGACTGATTGACATGGGAGTGCAGCCTGGATCTGTAAGAAATGAACATTTCACTAAGGGGACAAGACGTTTCATTAACCAACATAGAAGTAGCGTCATCAGTCGTTTTACATTTGTGGAGCTTCTGAGGAGGAGATCGGAGCACCTATGGATCTGTCTCGAGTGCTGTGATGATAATCCTTTCTAGTCACTAATCTCTATTTAAAGTCTTGGGAAGTAAAGGCTGCCGGCCTGATGTTGACCACATCACCCACTGAATGGTGACTGCCCTATAAAATATAGTCCTAGCACTGTTTGTAGAATACGTCTCAAGGAGTGGAAAAATGACTTTTACTTTTGTTTTATGTCCTGGTTCCCTATTTCTTCTTCAGCATCCCAAGCCCTTGAGGATCACTGCTGTAGATATCACCCACCTCTATTCATCTTTGTGACTGGCCTCTTTCTAGTTGGCGGTCACTAAAACAACTGGGCGAAGCTGCTGTAAGAACTTCAAGCTAGCTCTGGACACATGGGAACGTCGTGGGGGATGGGCCTCGATAGACTGGTCCGAGTCCCTAGCAGAAAGGAGCTTCTTATCCCTTAAAAGCCAAAGTATCTGATAAATGTTTGCCAGTGTCTCTCTGCCAAAGTCTAACAATTATCTGATGAATCAGTTATAAAAGTGTTACTCTGGTTGTGAAGGCAGTCAACTATTCTAATTTGCTACCACACTGAGAATATAACACCAAATCTCACAGCACCTGTTGCAAAGTCAACATATCGTCTTGTCCCTGTTGAGTCTGATGAAGTGCAGCAGGGAAAGATCGGGGCCTGGTTTCATGACCCAGGTCGGCCCACCTTCTGAGATTGTGTTGGAAAGTAATGGGCTGAAGCAATCGCCAGTGTAGGATCTCTACTGATAACCGGTGGACCCCTGCAGTGCATGCTCCCCTGTGGAGTTCTTACTCTTTTTCACTTGTTTCTGCTGTGATCTTTATGCCCCAGCCATTTAACTCTATTATCCCTCAATGCGCCAGTGATCACTGGCGATTTAAACTGATTATGAATTTAATTGTTGCTTCTCACTCTTTATTCCCCACTGTTTGCATCTTTGATTGGTCCGAAAATTCATTATGAGACTGATTAAAACACTTATAATAAAGCCTTCTTTTTAAAAACAAAAAAATATTTACAATTATAATTTATGGATTCGTACACCACTGTAATCATCACAGGAGTTAAATGAGATATACACAGAGCTTTATTCTGACGGTACGCAACAGTGTGCAGTACCAGAAGTGTTTTTAGGCATTATGTATTTTTTTTTCTTCTTGTGATTACCTGCACTTTTTATTATAGATACTTTGTAGTAAGAAGGACACCTTTTTTAAAGCATCATTTTCATGGAACTACTGTAAAAGACACTTTGTGGTGAGTTGAAAAAAATCCTTGTTCATGTTTTCAGGCATTTTGGGCTAGCCCTTCCATGGAGAGAAACTGAGAAATATGTATTCAAACCCATGAATTAAGTCGACCCCCTGACTTTAACTTTAATTGTTGGATAATACGTGAACAACTGTATTTTATTTTGCAGACAAATATTATGTAACAGTGGATCAGCGCTACATGGACACCAGCGATGCTTTTGTGTTTGCCCAGAGTTTGTAAGTTACATTCTTACTGTTTGTAGTAGTAGTAGTAGCAAGTAGCAATTTGGGAGCCGCTGTTGTGTAGCAGATAAACATTCACTTGCAGATCCGAAGGTAAAGGGTTCAATTCAGAACAGTACTGGCGTTTTTTTCTTTTACCAGAAATGACCTTGCTCCGAGATTGACCCAGCCTTAAATAAGTACCACGTAAAAGTCCTGGGTAGAAGATGTGGACCATATCACCCACTAAGTGCCGATTGGTCTATCAAATATAGGTCAGGTGGTATATGCCCAATATGCCTAAAGGCATGGTAAAGAGCCCTTTACTTTTACAAGCAGCAATGTGAACAAAAATATCCTGTTTAACCAGTTATAATTGGAATATATACAGTATTTTTTTTTTCTATTTAAATACCTGATATTCCATACATATCAATTCTTTTTGTTTATTTCATATTTTATACACAGAAACAGCTTTTAGGACCATAGACTGTTAGTTTAAAATATTTTAGTTGCACTTTTTGAATAATTATGATCCTTTGTCATCTTCTTTTTGTCCACTTCCTCTTTTACAACTTCGGCTTTGGTATGCATCACAAGGCATTCTCTCTAAGTTGGTAATCCATTTTATTA